GAAACGGAAGCAGCATCTCCCAGCGACCACCAGCGGGAGAGAGAGACGGTGACGTTGACATCGTTGTTCCTCTCCCGGCCGATCAATCCATCCCAGCTCGTAGGAAACTCATTCACGAAGGCTTCGAAGGCTCATCGGAAAAGATACGATGGCAATACCAGCGTCATCAGACATCAACCATATTCCAAAACGTGGGTACGGTTGTGTAGGGGACGAGCTCAAGATTAGCCGATTAGGGCTGGAAGTTTGGTAACCGAATACCTTACCGAATTTGTCTATATTTTGTATTACCGAATACACGTATTATTTCGTGGAATTGGGATTGAGTTTCAATTGTTCTTTGGCATTAGAGATTACAAGATTGGGATCTGTATATACCGAAATACCTTACCGAATTTGTCTATATTTTGTATTACCGAATACACGTATTATTTCGTGGGATTGAGATTGAGTTTCAATTGTTCTTCGGTATTAGGGATTACAAGATTGAGATCGGTATATACCGAAATACTGATCAATACCGAAATATAAGCTAGTGTGTATATTATCCTCTCAACTAGACTCTCTCACACTAGTATTAGTCGTCTCTCAACCTCAAATTCATCAAATTAAAGATTACCAATTACAAAAACTTGAGATGTTAGCTCTAGGCAACTCAAGACTCTTTGCTTAGTCTCTTAGCCCTAAATTAAACAATAAAATCTAATTTATATATTTAATTATTAATGGCAAAGGTCATTAATTTTTGTATTTGATAATACCGATTGGGATACCGAGGTACCGATTGGGATTGGGATCGATTTCAGGGTGTAATTCGGTATTCAGGATTTCGGTATTTGGTATTGGGATACCGATACCGTATCGATTTCCACCCCTACTCAGGATTGTCACGATCTCGACGAAATCGAATTTGGATGTCAGACGGGGAAGATACGAGCCTAGAAAGTTTGGGACACAAATCGAATAGTTCAGGTACCGATTCTTTCTATTAATGAAATTCGAGGATTAGTTCTGTAATTTTCCAGAGAGATGGTGGTCAGCTCATTGACTGGAAAAATACCAATTCAGTACATGGAGACTTTAAAAACTGACAGAATGTTTATTTTGGCCATAACTCGATCAATTGACGTCCGATCGAGAAACCGTCTGCGCCTATGAAATCATGGGAACAAGGAGAATTTAATCGGGGCGATTCATGGAATTTATAGAGGGGAATCAGAGTTGGTTTAGACGGGAATGTGTTAGGGTGGCAACTAAAATTTTAGTAGCCATCGTTGCTACATCACTATCTGCCATTCATTTTCTTATTTTCCTCTTTTTTTTTATCTCACGGTTAATTTTTTTTAGGGTAATTTTGAAAACAAAAAAGAGTCCACACCTGATTATCCTATATATTCTACCCAAACCCTAATCTACCATCCCTCCAACCAAACCCTAGACGACGGCAGCACTGCCGACTACCACCTCCGCTCCCTCTCCTTCTCCTCCTCCCACCACCTTCGTTCCCCTCACCTCTGCCCACCTCCTCCCCCCCCCCCATGCTATCTCCTCCTCCTACCCTCCGCCCACCTCCTCCACGTACTCCTCCGCCCACCTCCTCCACACTCTCTCTCTCTCCAAAGCAGCACTGCCGACTGGTCGCAATATAACATATTAATTCCCACGTCAAATATCTGCGTAGGATCAAAAGAGGAGCCCAGGAACGAGGCCAAATGCGTCACCACCTCCTTCTCTTTTGTTGTTCTTCTGCATTTCCTCGGGCCGCTGGAAAAGAGGTAGCTTTTGTTTGTATTGGTATATATTTTGTTTGTATTGGTAGTGATTTTTTAGTAGTAGTAGTTGTTTTATTTCATATTGGTATTTTTTTCGCAATGATATTGTTGTTTGGTAGTGATGTAATTGTATTGGTATTGGTTAATAAGTATCATTGTTTTTATGGATTGGTATTGATTTTGTTGCATTAATATTGTTTATGTCGCATTGGTATTGTTTATCATGTAATGATATTAATTTGCATGTATTGGTATTGATTAAATCTACAATGGTATTGATTTTTGTGAAATTGTATTGATTTATATTGATAGATTGTTTATATTGGTAGTTTTTCGTCAGGCCCGGCCCAAGCCCTGTGCTAGTCAGACCCACAGCACAGGACCTCAATTTTATTGGGGCCTCATAATCAATTAAGTTTGGAGGCCCACAGAATCCATAGAGTATGGATGCTACCTTGGGCTCGCCACATAAACCATTAGTCCGGAAGCCCGTTGGGATGGCGAGGCTCACACTCGAACCCCTTGAGCTGGCGAGGCCCACACACACACAAAAACCCAAAGTACAAAGGCGCAGGAGGAGAATCGAACCGTGGACCTATCCTTCTCATCAAAATAAGACGCAACCACTAAGTTGCGGCTTGTTTGTTTAATCAAAACTAACAGTTAGGTATTTAATCTTCTTCTCTTTTCCCAAAATTCTCAACTTCCCAAAAATATCCAACGCCTAAATATGAATTGTACACACCCAATTCTAATTATGTCAACCCGAAAATTTGAAAAAGTTAATTTCTAAACGTAGATAATATTATTATTTTCCAATCATTTTCTGAAGTTGTCATTTTTATTATTATTTAATAATTTTATTTTTAAAAAATTTATGAAAAAATGTTTTGGGGTCACATTTTAAATTGTCGAACAGGGCCTCCGATTATCATGGGACGGCCCTGGTTTTCGTCTAATGGTATAGATTTATTTCTGCAATGGTATTGATGTTTTCAAAGTGGTAGTGATTGTCTAATGAATTGGTAGTGATTTCGTTTTTTTTCTTTTGCTCAAAAATTGAGAAAAATAAGTAAAGAAAATCTGGTTGGAGATTACGGAAGTGAGAGAAAGAGAAAGAATCGTAATTAATAGATTTTTGTAACTACCTAAAATGTAATTTATTAAGAAAATTAATTAATACAATTTATTTTTCCATACCCAATTTACCCTTAGTAACTATGGTGATTACTATACCTGTCACGGTTTCGACGAATTTAAGGTGAGTTTAAATGGGGTAAATTCTACGCCTTACATGTTTTTCAAGTATTACGAGCTTTAAGTATTTTGATAAAGTGACTGTCGTGGTGTGTTTATACTCATGATTGATGATACGTGCTTTGTTTGATTTATGATTTGAAGTAAATGTGTGCGATTTACCTTAAAGCTTTACGAGTTATTGTTAAAGTTTAAGTAGCAAGTTATTTTTAAGAAGTACTTCACCTTCAAGAAGATGAAACCTTTTTAAGAGTTTTTAGTCACTAGAGTCAGTCTGTTTTCATTTGAGATTTTGAGATAGAGTAGCAGTTATGCTCTTGAGAATCGTGGTGAAAAGCCACCACGATAAGTTTAAGATGTTTGGGGATGAATTGTTACGACTCCCCTAACTAAGTTTAATGAAAGCCTGTATGGCTTCTCATACGTATGAGTTGGGCAACCGGACTAGCTACTAGCTAGTGAGGGATCCAAGTGTCAGTCAAAAGTTTAAGTCAAGATTTGAGCTTTAAGAAGTGAGAGTAAATTTTGCTCCCATACACTTTTAACGGTTAAGAGCTTTTAAGAGTGGAAGTACAAACAACTTCCACCAATTTAAGTAAGTGTTTTAAGTGAAGTGCTAAGTATTAGAAATTTTAAAACGTAAGGGCGTAGACTGACCCCATCTCACTCACCGGGTCTTAGTAAAGGAATGAGCAAGAACCAGTACAATAGCAGCTAGTTAGAGGAGCAGTTAGAGAGCAACGAGATCGACAGAACGGTTCGAGGCAGACCAGCTAGAAGAGGACGGTTCGAACGTCATGAAGAATGCCTAGTCAAGGTTTTCAATAAGCGACAACCTTAGAGACTTTTTAGTTATTTCCTCTGTTTTCAGAACCGGACCGAAAGCTGAACCGGAAAGGTTAGTGGTTCACGGTTCAATGGTTATCCGTTATAAAACCGTTGGTGAACCGTTTATAGAACCGTTCACACATATAAAATAGAAAGACACATTGAGTAACTACTACTGCACAGGTGATTGATCGGAGTGAAATAATACCTGTTTGTGGAGCAGCCGAGCAGTGCGATGGAAGTAGAATGACTGGACGAGCAGAGGGTTGGCCGGCTGTAGCTAGAGAGGGGGAAAAAGGAGCAAGCGCTAGGGTACAGAAACAAGAAGAGAAAGTAGATACGTAAGTATTCTATTAGGATTTAGGGTTGTAACTTGAAAGTTTGTTTTGGGTAGGCGACGATTCGTATTTTTGTTTTTCACATTTTTTATTCTTGGAATAGCGGACCGTAGGACCACTTAGACCGGCCGGTCCCCCCGGTTCAGTTACAGAACGTCCAAAACCGCACGGCCCAGTATTAGCCGTGTGACTACATGAGCCGACCCGCTATTAGTGTCGGTTGGCGGTTCTTCCGGTCCGGTTCACTGGTCCGGCCCGATTCTTACAACAAGGGTTATTTCCTTTATGATTATGAGTATAGACTGGAGATTCAAATTAAGATTTTACGATTAAGGTTCGCCCAAGTGTTAGGGCTTGTTTTAAGAAGTTACAGTTTATTATCAGTATTTGTTAAAGTTATTTATGAAAAGTTTCCGCTATTTTTTTCTAAGTGTTTGCATTTCTTTTTTTGTTTCATGGTTTATAAGGGGTATTTTGGTAAAAGTAGTACTCTGCCAGGTTAGGGTGTTTCAGTAGTAGAGATTTGGTTGTTGGCTGAATAAATGCTTATTCCTATTTAACTAGTACTGTAGGGCTGGTACTACAGAACTGGTTGGTGATCGAGTAAATGCATCACTTTCTATTTAAATAGTAGTGTAGGGTGGTTCAGGGTAGAAGAAAAGGTTTGCTCCTTATGATATTCTCCAGATTGTTCCTTCTGCATATTATTCATTATGATGCTAACTCCTTTTGAAAATAAAGTTACTGATATCTACCTTGTTGTCTTACCTTGTTTCAATGAAGTACCTTGCTTAACAACTTCAATATGGAAGTTGATCAAGGGGAGGGTAATGATGTAGGACAGGGGAGGCAAAGAGAGTACATGAAATGGACAGACAATGATGATGTGATCTTCATCGAAGGCATGCTGGACTTGGTTCAATCAAGGGAGGTTGAGTTACAGAACTTAAAGAACGGAGGATTCAAGAAACTTAAAGCTATGATTGAGAAGAGGATTCTCGGCTTCAATCTGAATGTGAAATCATGACACAGTTGGTTCAAGAACAAGTACAACGCTATATATGATGTTCAAAATGGTAGCTGCATTGGGTTTGGCTGGGATGAGTCTAAGAAAGTTATCGTTGTTGATGATGATGTTTTCAAGGATTAGGTTAAGGTGTCAGTTTCTTCCTTTTCATCACAACTAGTTTGAACTAAAGCCAGCATATCCAACCTTCAGTTGTGTGTTGTTTTATACTGATGGTGATGAATTTTGTCATTTGTAGACACATCAACACTTTTCTGGTAGCTGCCTGTATTTTGTAATTCTCCACTTCATCTTTTGCAGCCTTCATCTATTGATGGCTTGTTTTCCTACTGTAAGGCTTATAGCTCAGGATTTATGTAATGAAATGGGATGTTGTAATTTGGTTCTTTGGTTAAAGTACTTCTTGGTTCTATAACATTGCTTAGTTGGAGGAAAAAAAACATCAATTATTGCAGCAAATATGACATTGATTAGTTAAACAAAAAAACATAACAAAACCATCTATTGCACTTCAATAGAAAGCTTCATTCATTACAGAAAGCATAGAATCCCAAATTTCTCAACAACTACACATTGATCAACAAAACAACTACTCTGCTACTCTGGTCCCTTCTAACAATAGAGAGACCTAACAACTACTACTACACTGAAAATACGAAAGTCAGAAGGCCAAACAACACAATAATTACTCTGCAGAATTAGCTCCCAAAACAATATACTCTAGTCAACTCAACCTAGCTCTAATACCATCAAATTCATTGTTCAAAGTAGAGACATTGTTCTGGACAATTCTTATTTCTCAACTGCAAGCTTCCCACTAGTAGTTCAACAAGAGATTCCTGAAGTTCATTGTTTCATGCTTTGAGGGCCTCATTATCTTCACGCAAACGAGTATTGTCCATGTTCAAATCATTGACCAAGGCTTCATACTTTTTTCCTCCTTTTCAATTGCCACCCCTATCTCGTGCCACACAAAAAATTCACAAGCTATCTCAGGCTGCAAACGTAAAAGGCTCAGTTAATTAAGCACCCAAAGCTGAAACCCAAGGAAGCACAACACATCTGGAACCACCAATCTAATCAATCGAACAAACTACCTGCTTTGGATTCCCTTAGGGCAGCTAAATAAATTTCTATTCAGATTACCAGATGTATGTGATGTTTTGACGATTATAAGAGATCCAAATTTATAGGTGACAAAAATCTATTCCTCGTTCTCATCGGGATGTAGTCGGCTTCGTCGGGAGGAGCTCATTTTGATGCAGTCATGCTGGATGCTCGACGGTGGCCGCATCTCTCTCAATTGTTCTTTGTCTTGCAATGGCGGAATCTTCCTTCTGCAGCTTCTCTTTTATTTGTTTGGGTGAAAAGAACTCCTTGCAAACGCATACACAAGTTGGAGGAGAAGAATTATTAAAAATTGATGGGTATTTGTGTCTTTTACAGTTTTACCACAGGAAAGTGTTTTGGTTTTTGTTTTGCAAAAAAGTACAATATCACTTTCAAATACATTGATTCAATACATCACTTTCAAATACATTAACCGGAGAAATACATCAATTTGGAGAATCACATCCTCCAAACAACCCCTAACTACTTTTGGTGAATGCCCCATAATATTCGTAGAACCTGTGTCGGAGGGCCTCCCGGCGCACCCTCTTGGTCGGCCCTGCCAAACATATAACTTAAACTTTCATGAGATGCAAAAGAGCGAATTGAGTTCCTCCAAATGCAGAAATCTCGGGTGATGACACTTGAAAAGTAGTGTGTATCATACCATTTTCTTAGTAATATTTCAGTATTCGATGCATCTTTAGTCATTTTACTATAATTTTCTCTTGGGTTAATTCCATTGTTGGTCACTGAGATTACAAAAAACGTTAAAGTTTGGTCACTCTAAATATTTAAATCCATCGGTGGTACTTCACTTTACTGAAACCGTTCTCATTTGGTCGCTCTCCGTCCAACTCTGTTAACTTTTGCTTACATGGCGGTCAAATCTAAAAGTTGACTGTTAAATGTGTAAAATGACAATTTAAAAATAATAAAATAAAATTTCTTAAAATTGCTATCTCATTTCCACCTCAATATCACTTTTATTTAAAATAAATAAAAACCCTAATTTCTTCTAATCCCTAATACCAATACCCCGCCATCGCAAGCAGGCAAAATCGCAATGAAGCACTTCATCTCGCGAGATCAGCTCGTTGGAGAACGTCAACACGGGCATCAATCCGCGCTTCTTCAGCCAAAATATCGTGCAGAAGCTATCGGAGAAGAAAATCCCTTCCACACAGGCAAATACAATCAACCTCTCGGCGAACGATTCCCCACTGTCGATCCACTTCAAGGCCCACTGGGCCTTCTCGGCCACACAAGGCACCATCTCGATGGCGCATAAGAGGCGGCTCTTCTCATCGAAGTCCTTGATGTAGGTCTCAAGAAGGAGGATGTGCATCTCAGAGTGGATGTTCTCGATCGCGATCTGGAACCCGTAAAAGGCTCTGGCCTCCGCGAATTGCACTTCCTTCATGAACCAGCCGGCGAGATTCTCGAGGAAGATTCCGTTGGAGGCGGCGAAGAAGGCAAGGATGTGGGTGATGAAGTGGCGCTCGTTGGGGGAGAGTGATTCCCAGTGTGCGGTGTCTTGAGAGAGGTCGAGTATTGGCATTGCAGATTAGAAGAAATTAGGATTTTTTATTTATTTTAAATAAAAGTGATAATGAGGTGGAAATGAGATGGCAATTTTTTTAAAAAAAATATTATTTTTATTATTTTTAAATTATCACGTCACACATTTAATGGTCAACTTTTAGAGTTGAACGCCTCGTAAACAAAAGTTAACGGAGTTGGACGGAGAGTGATTAAATGTGAACGATTTCAGTAAACTTTTTTTTGTTTCTCAGCCATGCAATTATCCCATTTTCTTTCTTTTGTTCTTTTTTTTTTTTTTTGCATCTTAGAGCCTCTAGGAGTTTCTTATACTTTTAATGTTTTTTTGTGATAGTTTCAGGCGTTGTTTGCTTGTAGAATTTTTAAAAATGAAGGATTTGAGAAAAACTTTAGATTTTGGGATTGAAGAATTATGTTGGATTTTGTTATTTTGGATTATTATTGGATTTTCGAAAATGTTTGTTTAATTTGCTTGTTTTATTTTCAATTGGATTATAGTATATTGGATTATGGGTTAAAAGACAAATGAACATGTCTATCTTTAGGGTGCTCCTACGCTGTACATATCTAATTTAACGTGGTAGAGGCTCCTGGACTCGAATCGCATCCATGCTTCTCAAATTGAGCTTCAAAGTAGGCTTCACAAACACGTTCATAGACTTAGCCATTTTCAGGCAGTTTCCCAGTTTTGGCATAGCCTTTTGATCAGGTTAAAAAATGGTCTTCTGGACTTCCTATCGACCTTCCAAGTGCTTTAATGTGTAGAGGGACACTTCAGCTTCAAAACAAGACATTAATCTCCAATTTCCATCTAGCCAATTGTAAGATATGAATGTCCACAGTAGGCACCATGAAACTGTTTTTTACACTGAAACAATAGATCAGGTCGACCTAATCCTACATGAGGTCGACCGAAAAGTGCATGTCACCGTGACATGCATGTCACCGTAGGCCGTAGCAAAGTCCCTATCTTTAACAATAACATATTTATTTTCTTTAGTCTTAGTTATGTGGGTACATTGGTAATTTCACCTCTTGTATTTTGACTAAAACATAATCTGACATATACGGATCCCATGGATTTTTAATCAATCTCAGTTCGGTGAATCACCAACATGGATTATGGAAAAAAACCAATATGTGTGAGATTTTGAGGAAAATCCTTCATTAAAATTTCATAAGCAAACGAATTCTTATATGATTTTTAGGCCTAAGTACGCTAGAGGATGAATGTAGTTGGACCAAAACGATTTTTTGGGCTCATAAGCTGCACGGTGGACCATAGTTGTCTCCAAGTAAGCCCATTGACGGGTCCAGACAACCACAGACGAGCTCACGAGCAGAATGAATCTAGAATGTTGGGTCAAGAGATAAAATTTGATGGATACACAACCAAAGTCAAACTTCAAACGGCGCCCTAACCATCTTCATTCTTTTGGACAATGTTGTCAGAACCGAACCGGAGCATGACCCAGTAATGCGAACGGCTCGTATTTTAGTGGTCCAATCGACATTAGACCGTTTAAAAATCGTTAGAGAACCTGTACCTAATAAACATTATTAGTATAAATAGTGGACATTTCTTAATCAGAGCTCGTCTCTTTCCTTCGAAATTGTGAAATAGAAATAAGGATTAAGTTTGAGAGCCCGACGTTTTTGGTTTATTTCAATTTTCAGTTTTCTGTAATTTTTTAATTAAATTTAACGGCTGAATGGCAAAAGCCGTACGAGCGGCTCGATCGTCACGAGCGGTTAACCGCCTCGGCCGCTCGTCAACCGTAATATAAAATCGGAGCGACTTTTAGACTGTGTCGAGCCGGTTTTGTGACCGGATGGGGTTTTACCGTTCGGGCCGAGCGGCTCGGCTCGGCTTTAATAACACTGCTTTTGGGAATTAAGTATCATGTACTTTGTACACAATCCGTCGTTTGCATGATGGATTTAACATGAATAAATCCGTGGGTCCACATACTTTTATGACCGGATGGCGGTTTTACCGGTCGGGCCGAGCGGCTCGCTCGGCTTTAATAACACTGCTTTTGGGAATTAAGTATCATGCACTTTGTACACAATCCGTCGTTTGCATGATGGACCACACGGATATGAGAATTCCACCCCAAGCGGTGGGATTTGTGTTGGGGTACAAAGTCCATTATGAATTTTTACAATTTTAACCCTACTTATTAAACTAATCACCAACTTATCCTGTTTCAATTACTAATGACCAACTTGTAGTGCATATTAATTTAGCATTCAATATTTGTTATTATTCATTGCACGCAAACACTACATGATTAATCTCAAAGTATACTTTGCAACATTGAAAACCTTAAGGAATTGTCTAATTATGTGTATAATATGAAGTTGTTATTGATTAATCATGTTCATTTGTTCCGATCGTGGTAGTAGGATGAAGCTATTGGATGAAAATTGTTTTTTAACAAAAATTATAATGTAAAAATAAATAATACTCAATAAGGGCACTAAGGTAAATTCCTAATACAACCACAAATATAACAATGTCAAATCCATCATGAAATCCAACAAGTAAACGATAGTTTATACCAAAAACCAAATGGGGCAATTCCATCATATATCCATAGTTTTGTAAAACCCAGGTTTTAACCAAAACCTTCATTTTTCAAATCTATGAAGCAAACGAGCCCTAGACTAGATTATTTTGATTTTATGGAAACTTGAGGTGTTGGAGGGGTTTGAGGAATTATTTGATTTGAATAGCATTTCCTTCAATATACATCTTTTGGTTAATTATTTATTTTTTATGATTCTGAGTTGCACATTAACTTCCGCGGAACCGCGGATGGAAAATGGAATTGACTAGAAATCCCTACTAAGCAAACACAATTATAGTCATTTGCTCAAGGAAGAAATCCCTACTAAGCAAATGTTTTCAACATTAATTACATCATACATCAAGAGAGAAAACTATTGCAAGTGTATAACTGGATTGGTAATCAGATATGCTAAAATTGAACAAACAAATTAATTAATTGATTTTATATTTAGTCTATAATTCTAGGGATTGGCAGGGAAAACTTAATCTGGATTATCTTCTGCAAACAACCTCTCATTTTGCTCGTTTAGTTTTCTTTTATGTTTTTTCGTTCAATTAGCTAGTTTTATTTCTTAGTTCAATCTATTATTGGCCACTGTTCTTTTTTGTTCGTGTATCATTGCCTCTATTTTGTAGTCTTAAGATCTTTTGGTGCTTGTTTGATTTGATTATTTTAGCAAACTGTTTTCTTAGTGGAATCTGTTTATAGTCTTAAAGCCCAACTTTTCGTACGCGTTCGTCTTACTGGTCACACCTTAGGCTCCTCACCTTAGAGTCTGATCTTTTGAGCGCCCGAATCCTGCTTAACGCTCCGTAGGAGCCTCGCCTTGAAGCCCGCTCCTTGGTGGGTCTTGGTCCAGCTAGCCAATCCTTAGGCGTATGGCCTACACACACGCACTGAGGAGGGCCCTTGGGCCCATTAATCCTACGACGCTCAAGTTTGTTCCAATTCTAAAGAGAGAAGTATGAAACTATAGGTTTTAGTGAGAGAGTCCAACCTGCGTAAATGCTATCTACCAACCCTATTTAATATTTATACTCACCCAACCCTCAACCGATCTTATTCCATCCAGCTCCACGTTGGGTGCCCGCCATTGCGTGCTTTCTCGACTATTGAATATTGCCTTGCCTCACCGTTGAGCTGGGCGCCTGATGATCATCAGTCTTTTCCCTAGTTTTTTCCTTCCGCAAGCTTGGTTCACGCATCTTCGCAAAGTGAGATGAATCATCCTTACACTGTAAATGCCCCCCTTTCCTTGTTACAAGCGCCTCGGTCTTATTGAATCGGGCGCCTGTCAACTATTGATTTTCCTCCTTCTGGACCTAGGCGCCTGGATTGCGTGCTCCCCTTGCTGCTCAAATTCGACCTATTGGACCTACCCACCTTTCGGGGCCCAAATGTGGGCTTACTCAATGGTGGTGCTTTCCACTACTCCAATGAGCTACATTGAGCTTTTACTTGGGCTTGTTCCTTTGTAATACCCCCAACCATTTGCCCCCCCAGTTAGGCGCTCAACACCTGGTATCTTGAGTGCCTAACTACCTCTAACAGTGGTACGCCTGTCTCTTTCTTCTCTGATCGACTTTTCCCACAAGTCCCCTCGATATGGCGCCCGCTCAATGCCCCCCTCAAATTTATTGACTCATTATGGATCGGCCTCTTTTTGGAACTAGCGCCTGTTAAATGCCCCACACACATTTATTGACTTATTCATAACGGGCGCCCTACCTCTGCCAAATACACGCCCCTACATTCAATGACCCTTTATGGCAGGCGCCCGACCATTGCGAGATACGTTGCATGGTGACAGGCGCCCAACGCGCCCCGATATTCAGTGACCGCTTTATGCCAGACGCCCCAACATTTATTGACCACTTTACGATAGGCACCCGAAATTCAATAATCACTTTAACAAAATCGGGTTTTCTCTACACCCCTACAATTGCCCCCAGTTAGGCGCGCAATATATCCAATTGAGCGCTGCATACGTTGCTTGTTCAAGACAGGGGCCTCTCTTTGCAATGCACATGCCCCACATCCTTACTTTTGGAACAGGCGCCTGCATTTGCAAGGCACACGCCCCACATCCTTACTTTCAAAACAGGCGCCTGCAAAATGCCCCCTCTCGTTTATCGTCACATTCATGATGACTCGCTCTTACCGTCGCTCTAGAAAATGGCCAAGTGTAACCACCTCCTAAAGCATAGTATAGCGGGTTTGGGTTTTAATGTCAACCCGGTTCCTAGATGTGATGACTACTCCGTGAGTTCTTATTATTTAGCAGTGAAGCTTTAGTGAAAATCCAAACAAGCAAAGCAAGTAAAAAGGTTGTTTTCAAGTTGAGAGAGGTCACCCGGGTATGGTTCCCCCTAGACCGCAGTTAAGCCGGATTGTAATTTACCAAGTTCAGTTTCAATGATAGTTATACTGTGGGAGGTTCTTAAACAGTCTAAAGTCTCGACTAAAGGTCTCCAGACCCTCTCAATCTGAGTCTCCAGCGGGCGACTAACCTCCACCGGAGTAAACAGATTGAGGCCCTAACGAACCAAACCTCCACAACCGAAGTAAATTCGGTACAGAATAGTGAATTGACTCCTCGACTAAAGTGGCCAATTCACTACCTTCAATCAAGGGTGCTCTATCAACCTAGGTAGATATTCTCTTTCTAGGTTAAAGCAGAAACAACAGGAATTTGATCAGGATTCATGCCATTCAACAAATCA